GTATCCATGGGTACGAGCACAAAGTTAGCTGGTTGGTACTCCACGCTGAAGTGCTCAGAGGGTAAGAGCTCCCATTGGCTGTCAGTGGAGAGCCATGGTTGCCACTGCAGGTTGCGACACCGGTCCAGCTTGCATTATCTCTGGAGGTCGATGGGTTTTTGTTCTTCCATATGGTGCAGAAGTTCTGGAGCAGCTCCGTTCGCTTCACAGCATCAGGTTCCCGCTGTAGCATGGAATGCAGATCTATCCAGGCGTCATGTGTTTTGGCTGTAATCGTGCATGATATTAGGGCCCGTACGTGGAGGAAGCCTAAGGTGTGTTGTTGTCTTCCGAAAGAGCACTCAATCTGCCATGCCGCCATAAGCAGGGAGGGCCAAACGGGAGTATATTGAAACTGGTTGAGCATAAATGCTGAGTTGTGCTGACCACTTGTTCCCGTTGAGCGGGAGGACACCCCTCTCCCCCCCCCTCCCAACAGGAGTGGCTGCATGTTCCAGTGAAAGTGCTCGCCTGTAAGATTATGTCGGGCTGCGTCCCGCCAGCGCCAGAGTCATAACCATGGGGCAGTCCAGAAGGCAGTGTTGCAAGGCAGCACATTTTCTTGGGGGGATCAGGTCACAATAAGAGCACAGAGTGACAGAGATGAGAGAAGCCCTTCGCTTTCTTGGTCTGTTCTCGCGGTCAACCAAGTATCTGGAGAGGGCAGGCATCAGATTCTGTGGATGATCTGCCATGATAATTGTAGGGGTCTATCTATGGTTAGTATGCCTGATACGGGACTCCGAGTAGGAGGACCCAATGGTATTTGCAAGATCCAAAGTTTGCTCGTTCCAGGGGAGATCCCTGTCCCATCTCAGAAGGATGTTGTCGAGGACGGGGACGGGTGTGCGCGCTGCCACGTATCCGTTCTTAACAGTATACTGCCATGGATGGACTGTGCATGAGACTCCCCTGTACGATTCCCATTCCATGGGGTCGAATGGGAGCTGGGACAGGTATGGTGGGGGTTCGTAAAGGTAGAATGGCCCCTGGTAGGAGGGCACTGCTGATCCAGGGCCTCCTCTCGGTGTAGTGCCCGACCACCTGGCCTCTGGTAGTGCTGGGCAAAAGGCGTGCAGAAGCACGGACGATGAGGTTGCCTGAACCACCGTATAAACGGTCATGGGAAGGAGCACGGAATCAGCAGACCAGTCCAGGACCTCTTCCTCTCCTGCCCAAAGTCTGTACTACTATGGAGATGGTGGGACATACTCTGAGGCGGCTGACGGGAGAACCAAACTGGTCATCATGCGACTGGAAAGCCATTTTCCTAGTCCACTGCCTGGTGTATAGAGGGGGAGACTTTAAAGCCGGTTGGTTCAGATCGGGGAAAAAGGCGCCATTGTAGGGCATACGGCCCTCAAGACGCACCTTTGAATGCGAAGGTGTATATCTGGGCCAGGAGGTGTGTGTGAGGCAATCAACTGTTAAAGCAATTTAATGAGCCAAAAGAGAATCAACAAAAATGAACAAAGCCCCAAGGGATTCATCTCTGTGAAACGGTTTTCACCTCTTTGCAGTAGCAGACGCAAATCCCAGGGTTCGCTCCCTAGACCTTGCCCTATCTGTGTACAGTACCTGTGTAGACCCCGAGAGTTGAACCTGTGACCTGTGTATTCGTAAACAGTTGGTAGGCTGTCATAGGTCCGTAGGTGGTAGGGGTTTGATCTGTAGATCTGTAGAATAGAAGTCCTAGCGAGTTCCAGAAGTCTTAGCT